TGTCTATATCATTCATGGTGGTAACTGCTGTGATCACAACACCTCAGCTTTTTGCGTAAGTATTCTGCTGGGCAAGTAGGTAGAAGAATGCATACATATTTCCAGTCACCTCACTGAGGAAAATTACGGGCCACATTCGTAGTATGAGATTGCAAAGCCAATTTTAGGCATAACTGACTTCCTCAGCAACTCAATTCCTTGGCAATGAATGAGCAGAGCATGGTTTAATTTCATAGATTTCAAAATCATGCTTAATTCAGGGTTTTGAATTGACAGGAAAATCCCGCATCCTTTTCTTTTCCCCCCACCAACCAGGCAGCTCACCGAAATAACGAGTAGTAGTAGCCATGGCAGCATTTGCCTCCTCCAGATGAGGCACTGATGCCTCTATGGATGACTTTCAGGCTAGTGCTAAGGTAAGCCCCATTTTTTGTGAAGAAAGAGCCTCTGTCTGGTCTGTCACAAAACCTCCCACTCTCCCTTCTTTCTGTGCTCCACTGCAGCTTCAGCACCAGAGCTCGGCTGCGTTCCCCAGCATGCCAAAAAGTCAGTAGCACTCAGCCTTGGTAGCCTTCAGCATTCAAATCACAGGACAGCTAATAGGACCATCTCATGCAACAAAGTAATAGAAAAATGCAGAGATGGAGAAGACACCAGCAAAGTTTTCTTTGTGATCATTGTTTAACACTGTAAGTAATTAAATATTAATGAAAGTATGCTACTTTCATTTTGTGAGCAATTTAATTCAATTAAAAATAAATGGATCTCCTTGGCTCAGTGGATATACTGATATTCAGCACTGCCCTTAACTTAGTTTCAGCAGCATTTAACTCCAGCGTAGCACAAAGTACAGGGGCAGAAACGTAGCCCCCAGCTAACATCGTTAACTCTTTAGGTCCCAGCGGCATGATTCTGTCACCCCGCTGAACTAACGCAGCCTCTCCCAGGGAATATTGGCTATGCTGTTTAACTTGCAGGAGCGGCAATTTATACCCAGTGTGGTAGCTAAGATATCTTGCACTGGGGCACTGTTTTCTTGAAAGGAAGCCATTTCAGAAAGACTTAGCAGGCCTGCATGGGTCTGAATCTCCTAGCATGCCGTGATCTGGTTAAGTAATATATCTGGGAACTTCATGTCACATAATGTAGAACTCTTCTTTTATTGCGCTGAAAGAGCTGTTTTAGATTCCCTCTGAGCCCATAGGCCATGTCTTTCTGATAATAAGAGTGTTATCAATGCTTTAATATTGAACTCAAATCTCTGCGTGAGAGAGCATCTAAGAGCTATTACTCAGCGCTGAAAGCAAAACCCAACTGTTCTGAATGGGGAGGAAAATGCCAATCTGTTGACAAAAAGTTAAACAGAGGTGAAATCTAAACTCCGGCCAACATTTTACAGCCTTAGCGCATTGTTAACTTTTCATCTTATCTGTCAGGAATAGGAAACTAATGTTTTAAAACAATGTATTGCTTTTACGGGCAAGGTCAGCATTTGTTAGATTTCAGGGTTACACCGAGCACAGGCAGCCAGCATGACACTGAAAGAATTGCTCGAGCACCCACAAGCTGAGGTCTTCCAAAAGCCAAAATGCACACACCGGTTTCATTCCCATTTTTTCCTCTCAGCCAGCAGCAGCTCTGCTCTGACTTTTCTGTTCGACCTCTGTTTTCACGTGTGATAGTTCTAGCAGTGGCCAGAGGTTAACATCCTTCAAGAGGTGCCACCGAGCAAATCCCAGGCCAAAGGAGCGGTTACTGCATTTTGCTTTCGTGGGAGCGAGGGTTCAGGGTCACTCCACTCTCTTCCAGGAGCAAGTTCCAGATTTGTGTGCCTGCCCCTTGGACAATGCCGGGCTTTGTTCGAGCAGCAAGGCATCCTTGCTCAGCCATGCAGTTCCCAAGGAGCCACGTAGGTAAGATAATACAGGGAAATGGAACAGAGAGTCATTCTCTGCAATAGACAGAGATCTTGTTTGGAACATGCATCTCAAGGATGCTTTCCCTATATTCTTTTATATTAAATAGTTTTACCTCATATCCTCAGAAAGCATATGATCTGTATGACATCTGTAAGGATTAGCTACTTGTGATGTCATTAGAAAAAATCCACGTACAATGTCCACCAAGCAGCAAACAGAGCAGCAAGAAATGGGTTTTGTGCAAAATAAAAGAGCTTCCAAAGCATGTGCTCTGTGCTGCCACATCCACAGATCTGCTTTCCTAACCCATATAGCCCCTCTCTTTCCTTACTAGTAGACCTTTAGGTGTGCAAGACTTGTAAGCTTTTTTTGTAAAAGTGGTGAAAACACCATGAGTCCCAATGGAACTGAATTTTTGTGGAAATCCTAATAACAGGAATGCTTTTGTTATCGTTCACACTGAAACAAAATATATTTGTCATATCATTAAGAATATTTGTGGGTTATATGCAGATGGGCAAAGTACCATTCAGTGAAAAAGAGACAATACTGTGTGACTTAGGTGATCAGTCACACAGGAAAGCTTATAAATTCCAAATGCTCAAAAATGATCTGCTTTTGAACAAGTTGTAGACCCAATTTTGTTTACAAAAATTAATACTTAAAGAGTAAAAGCCAAACCAAAAAATAGCACTAAAAACCTCATTAAATCATTTAAATGATTCAGGGTGAATTATTTGACCAGCTCTAGGTAAGGTATGTTTTGTACCTTCTGCCCCACATGCTTGGAGATTTCCCAGCTTGTTTTAATCTCTCTAAGCAAATGAGAGCCCTCAAGGCTCATTAGGGCTATTTACACAGTTCTTAACTGGAAAAAATTAGATCTACAAAAATGAATAAATAAATAAACTGATGTGAAGTATGAATGGGAAGTCATGTTTAAAATCGATTTCCAAGTCCGCTAGAGACATGGACCTCCCTTGAGCTACTTCAAAGAAATAGCTGTGGGGAGAGAGAAAGAAGAGGTGGGGGAAAAAGGAAAGAAAAAAAAAAAAAGAAAAAAAAAAAACAATGCTGAAATATTTTTTTAAAGAATTAAGACTAGGGTTGGTGACAAGTCAGAGACACCGGAGTCTGTAACCATACACAAACACAGCTCAGAGAAGAAGGCAATCTTGTAATTAAAGGATCTGTGATTCAGCATCGGCTCTGCTAGGGTGGCTGTTTAACTGACCGTGGCTTCTGCTCTCTACTTGTAAAATAAAGGTAATGGCACCTTCTTTTTCCTCCAAGTTTTTGTTCTGTTTCTCTAAGGATAGGATAGCTTTTATTCTGGATGTGCATTCCTGCAGTTATTAAGGGAAAGAGATGGGGACTCTTGTTCCACGGGACAAGCAGAGCATTTACAATCATACTGATCTTCTCCCAGACGTGCAGGTGCAACTACTCATGGCCAGCCAGTTCCTGCCATCCATACACACATGTTCCTTTGAATGGCTGCTTGTACCTACCCACCCACCCCAAAATAACATCTATCTGATTAGCACAGCACCTGGACCATCCACATTTTCCACTACTGAAACACTTCTTGGAAGGCAGTCCCTGGCTTTGGAAAGGAGAAGGGAAAAAATTGATATTGTAATAGGGGCTATAAATTATCAAGTGGCCAATTTTAACGGATGCATGTGAAAGGAAGAGCATCTTCCCATCACTTTTCTTCTCAGATACTTCAATTCTGTCAGCAGAAAAATATTCACTTTTTGACCAAAACAGGTTTCAATCTGTTCTGTTGCATGTCTCCTAAGCACGTGGCCTCTGTCCAGTGCCCCTGCTCTCCACAGACATTCATCATTATCAAAGTTTGACTCTCTTGATTGCCTCAGTACTGACTTTTTTTCCAGATTCACCAGCATGGGCATCAGAAGTAAGACACCATCCAGTAGTGCAATAAAGTGGTTTTGTTTTTTCAGCAGTCCTTTGCTTTAGTGATTGGATTGCCTATTTCTTGTGCTTCTGCTTAAGCTAGCAAGGCTCATATGGCTTACCCATTGATCACCTACATATTTCTAACCCTCTTTATCACCACAATAAGGACAGAAAAGGAGTTTTTTCAAACACCTACGGCATTATTAGCCCAGCAAGAACGAACCGCTCCAAAAGCAAGAATTTAAAATGATCCCTTTTAAATTGGCAAGAATTTAAAATGATCCCTTAAAACGACACCCTGGAAGGCAGAACTGAAGAGAAGGAAGCATCTTGTGGTCAGTGGCACCACAGCTGAGGTTCTCAGCTGCTGTGGTCTCAGATGCACAATCAGCTTCAGCTGAATCAAGAGGAATCATGCATGCAAACCCAAATGAAAATCGGTCTTGCATCCATAATATATATTTCTGAAAGTGATAAAAGTTACAGCAGATCTGCCGACTTTTAAATTATAATCCCATCAAGCTGAGTTGAATAACTGAAGAACATTTGCTTGGGACATTCAATAACCATTCAATTTACATGAATATTCTCTAAAGCTGCAGAGTGCAGGGTAGGCATCAGAAGCTCTTTCTTGAGACTTTATCCTATCTTTAACAAGATAGGAAAATGCTTACAGATTTCCCATAGCATGTGAATAACGGGATACAAATATCGTACCATTGTTCAGCATTAACAATTAAACATGGCCTGCAGCTGTACCACCTGGGGCTCTGATCTTGACAGCACTCACAAGTTGCAGAAGACTCAACTCCAGCTAGAACTTGAACAAAAAGCCTCTAAGGGAAAAAAAAAAAAGTTACAGAAAATAATTTTACAATTCAGTCGAAGAAAATGACATAAGGAGTTTCTAGTGGTCTCAAGGAGTTTTAACTGATGGCTTTTGTAGGCTCTTCCACAGCTTGGAGCAGGGGAGTTACCTGCCGCATTCTTCCTCGGTTATAAAATGCCTTCCTGCTTCTCTGAATTCCTCTCCATGATTTCCACATGACAATGAAATTTCCAACGCTAAATTATCGGGTACTGTGGCTGTATGATCTCAAACACCTGCTGGTTTTCACTCCAAAGGTAACTGCATTTCTGCAGTGGGTGAATCACTTCCTAGAGATGTGAGGTCTATGGTAAATTGCTTAGGATCCTCGGAGATGACATATGCATAAGATACTGCTGTTAATGCACAACACAGCTCAGATAATAATTATGTGAAGCAAAGCTCTCAAAAAGGAAAATCTCTGTTTTGTTTTCCTGTTTGTTTTGGGGGTTTTGTCATCTGTTCTCTATCTCCCTCACCCTTTCACAGCAAAAACACAACTTGAACACCTCTGCAGAGTTAGATATATAGCTTCACCTTCAAACTGAAAATTGGAAGTGTTTTTCCCTCCAAACAGCCCCTTCAAAAGCTTTTGAGCTTGAGGTCTGTTCCCTCAAAGAGGTTTCAGTGGGAGAAGTGACACTAAAACCCTTCCCCTCATTGACAGTAATTACATCCTTTCCCCTGCTTCTCCTCACTTACCTGGGCTCATGGTGAAAGCTCACTGCGACCACTCTAAGGAAATTCTGTTATGTGCTGACATTTACCAGGTGACAACGAGGTCGGGTCAGGTGTTTGATACCCCAGCCTTTGCAGGTAATTATCAGGTAGTATTACAGGTAACAGGCTCAGCACATTTCAAGGGGTTATGATGAAGCAGCTCTCTTACTTGTCTAAGCTTTTTCTCAATGTTTTTTAAAGGGGCAAGTGGAATTTTAATCCTAATCCTATGCTTCTCATGGTCAAATTTAGGGGGTATTTCTTTTGCAATTTAAAAAACCCACATGAATAAAAATAAGTGGGTTTGTGAGCCCAGGAAGGTGATACTCTGTAATATCTCTGAGTGGGAAAAATATTCTGTGAGGTTTTGATATTTGCCACCAGATTTCTTCTCTGATGTTAGCAGATCAATCCCCATTCTCCAAATCTTCTTAAAACCTCAAACGAGTGCTGCTTTCAACTCTTGAAAGAAAAAGCTACCCACTTTCTGTTTTCTCTTCTATGTCCAGAAAACAGTCCAACAGAAGCTTCTTAAATCAACGAGAAGCTTCACTTGGGATTAGAGTATCAGCCCGTGGATCTGACCAGACTGGAGTTAAATTACATTTCAAAACAACATTTTAAATACTACAATCACCATTTCTGAGTCTGTTCGCATGGATTTCGGTTTGTTTAGTTTTCTTTTAAGCTCAAAACCTCGCCGCCACTGCAAAGGTGCCGTCTTAAGTGTAAATCTAATCTAAATATTTTCCAACAGAGGAAAGAAGAAGAAGAAGAAAAGAAGAAAAAAAAAAACTTTCGAAATCATGCTGGAAGCTTTGAAAGCGATCCCGCAGGCAGGCTTTGCTGCCGTGCTTTGCATTTGCCGGCCGGGTGCTGGGTGCCGAAACCAGAGGCTCACTGACACCCAGCGGCTGCCGCGGAGAGCGCAGCGCCCGCCCCGACGCCCCGGTGATGGGCACGGCAAAAGTTTCTGCTGGCCTTCAGCAGGGCCCTCTGCTTTTGGTTAGTCGGCCCTGGGTGCATTGAGAAGCAAGGAGAGCTTGCTGCCTAAAGTCTAGCTGCAAAGGGTCTGCTGCCCCGGTGAGGAGTTGCCTTTCTGATGCGTGCAAATCGCGTGCACCGGTTACCCGCACGGCAGGGGTAAATCCTCCGTAGCTCTGTAGGCGTTGGGCTTCTCATCACCTGGTGTGCGCGGCTGGGATTGTAAGGGTGGGGGGTATCAGGGAAACGGCTACCAGTGAGAAAAAAAAAAAAATAAAATAAATAAAAAATTAAAATAAAAAAAAAAAAAAAGAAGAAGAAGAAGGGGTAAGAAAAGCACAGGAGGCAGAGGCACAGGGAAGGAAAAATGGTTTAAAATTAAAAGTAAAGCAAATAGTCAACTTCCACTTCATTGATCATTATGAACCTGAGGCAAAATAGTTATGTGTAGAAGACAAATCAAGTAGCCACAGAAGCTGAGCCTTAGAAGTCAGTATCAACTGGTCTTTATTCTCAAAACCTCAGCTGCCGTGCTGAACTTCCTTAACCTCTGAGGGTGTCCAGGTAAAGGTTGTTTTTCAGTTTGTTTCAGTTTGTTTCTGTTTTGTGGTTTTTTTTTTTTTTTTTAATTATTATTATTATTATTTAATTTAAGAGTGTCAGACTCCTGGAGCTGCCAGGCTACCAGTGCAGCTCCAGCAAAGACAAAGCATCACCAAAGAGATGGCTGTAACAGTGCTTGTGTCCGAGGCTAGCAGCCCATCTTGGCACAGTTCTTCCAGCTTACATCTGAGTGAGAGCTTTGCTTCTTTCGCTACCAGCCTTCCTGCCATGCTCAGCACCACAGTTTCTGAATGGTTTATGGATGCTGAAGGAACAGTGAACAAGGGATCTCTCTCCCCTCAGTTTCTTAGCTCTGTCCTCCAAATGTTGCAATCTGTATTTTTTTACTGGAGCAGTAGGAGGAGGAATTTCCTATCTCATTTTTGATGTGACAGTGTTGGGTAGAAAAGATGTAGTTTTCCTTTTGCCTGCAGTTTATATGTACAAGACAAAGACTGGCAGTGCTGGCTGCTGGTTTGAAAAACAAGTTGCATGACCCCAGCTTGCCATGGTCTGTGGCCATTTATTTCTCTTCTGTTGCCCACATGCCTCAAGCTGCAGTCGCTGGGCATTCACAGAGCACACTGGGGTCCTCCTTAGAGTAAATGGAGGCTTCCCATCAGCAGCTGGAGGTGCAAAGCCTCTGACACAGGGCTGGGCTGGTCCAGTGCAACCCAAAAGATAGCAGAAATTTTGCACTGCTCACAGTGTGTATTTGATTTCCTTGCCCGGGTTTTTGGCTTATCTTCAGATGTTACTGTCAACTTTTGCAGTTGTAAAGGCAGGAGGTTTGTTCCTCCCACAAGATCTGGAGTGACAGCCCCATGTGTGACACTAACCTTTTGACACAGAATCACTTCAGTGTCTCTTTAAGTGGGTGTCCCAGCAGCACAACACAATCTGGAGACAGCACAACCCAGAACTTTTGACAGACAAATCATCTAAAATATGTGGGATGTGGCCTTAAGTTAAAAAGAATGAAATATTTTGTCACTTCTGTGGTGGATAAAATAATTCTCTTGTTCTCTTCTTTAGCAATTTGCATTTGAATAGGTGGATCTGTTCTTTACATTACTTTTGAGAGCCTGCATTTCCCAAATTCCAATTACACCACTGGGCTTTCAAGGACAGGAGTGAAGCCAAAGCATTTCCATCTAATGCAAACATGGATTACTGGAAGGATGTTCTCATTTTTTAAAAATGCACTGGGAGCAAGAGCCAGGTTTGCTAGCACCTTCTCTGCAAGCCATTGCTTCCTTGGCTTGATGCATGCAGAGAAAGAAAACCACATCAACAGGAAAGTGCAGAAGTTCCTGGAACGCCACAGCTTGCAGAGAGCTGAAGAAAGTGCTACCAGGCAGGCAAGCACACCCACTGCAGCAGCAAGGACACCGTCTCACAGTGAAATCCAGCACGCTGGTGGCCGGAGGTCCTTCTTCATCCACCAGGCTGCAGTTGGTCAGCTCAGTTCTGCCTCACCTCCATCACTGGAAGACCATCTCCAAGATAAAAGATCCAGTGCAAGAAGAGAAGATATTTAATGGTTCCAATGTGAGTGGAGCTGAGATTTCAGCTGCAACTAACTCCAGGCAAGTCCAAGTTTCCAAATGTTCCAGGTGTGGTTCCAGGAGGCATCTTCGGTTCCAGGAAGGAGACCTCTCTGGTAGCACAACCAGCATCCAAAGCACTTCTTCCTTAGAGTACAGACAGAAACTCCAAGTCAACCCAAACCATTTGTCCAGCCTATGGATACAGAATTACTGATGGACTGAATTTTGTCATTGAATGTATGTGTGCGTGTATATATATATATATACACACAGAGTTCATCAGTACTTCTCAGGACATACACATAAAAATTTATTGCCTCCACTTCTCCCTCCCCCGCTCCCAAAATTTTGGGGAGCCTGGGGAGCTAGTCAAACACAAAGTGAGAAATCTCAGTGCGTGCAGTCAATGCTCCATCTGTGCAGAACTCATTGCAAGCCAGTTGATGTACTTAGGGTGGTTTGGGAGGGGGATCTATTAGAGAGAAAAAGTACAGAGTAGAGTTAAGAAGCATTTTTTTTTCCTTCTAACTGCTCTCCTTTTATCTGCTCTCCTTCTCATGTTTCTGGGCTTTTTTTTCTTCTTCCTTCTCCTTCATCCTATAGAAGTGATACTGAATGCTGATGAGATAATAAATGGTCCAACCCCAGGCAATCATTTTCGGGTAATTAGTTCAGCTACTGAACTTCTGAGAGTCATTTTTTCACCTGCCCAGACAGCAAACTTGGGTAGTTAGTTACCCCATTACTGCTGAGTGGTCTTTGGGGCAGGGGCACTCAGCAGTACATGTGCTTCAGGTCCTGGATATGCTATGCAATCTCTAATTAAGCCTAACTTTGGCCTGTATTTAGGATTTTAAGGAATTCCCTACTTGTGCCAAACATCACATCCCGAAATTCATGATTTGTTGTAAGCTTCTGTGCACAATCACACCTGAGCTCACAAATTGGTTCAGAAAAGAGGAATATCACTGCTTTGGGGAACTTGGGGGATGCCCATTGTCTTTTTCACTACAAAAGTTTCAAAATTTCCACTGGAAGGGAAGTTTGGAGAGGGGAATCATGGCATTTGGCTTAATCAACTTCACAGGAGAGCTTCCATCGTTTCCCTTTCCCAGGGCACTTAGCTCCTCTTTGCACCATGTCAAAGCCCTGAAAACTATGCATGGGGCTCGCTGCCACACAACCCACAGCTGGGCTTTCATGAGTGCTGGGCTTTCCCAGCTCCCTGCCCCACGACAAGGAGCCTGTAAGCCCTACAGCTGTCGATGTGGAACAGGTGTCTCAGAGCTGAGGGCTCAAGGGCTTCAACTCCAAAGCAGCCCAAGTGATGGAGGACCCCTAGATCCTCAGACGCTGAAACCCTTGCATGATGGTGGGGATCCATTGTTGGTGGGTCCCCAAACCTGCATAGTTCCAAGAAACATTCTGGTTGCAACAACTTTGTGTTTTTCAACAAAAATCTCTTCCATTGGAGAGTTCCCACCCAGCTCTGGGGCACCCTCAAAGCTTCAGGGCTGACCTCTGATGAAATGAAGGGAGATTTGGGCTTATGGATGTACAACCTGCTCCTTTGCTGCAGAACACAGGACAGCCAGGGCTGTGGACAGGGAGAGGAAGTTCCTCGCAGGGCAGTTATGCAGGCTGTGTAACCTCCCCTCTGACACCCGTCAGTGTCAAAAGCAGAACACGGGATTAAATAAACCAACCATTGTCTATTTTAGTATTAGCAATTCCCATTTGATACTTGATAGGGTCAAAAAAGAAATCGAGCATCCTGGAAAGATACAGAATTTGTCAGGCATCTCTGTACTGCAGACACGAAGGAAGGACACAGCCACATTTCTGCTGCCACACGGCTCATCTTCAGAAAGTTTTGTTTCAAATCTTTGCTGTGTAGTCCCACTCCTTTTTTTTTTTTTTTTTTTCATTTTCTTTTTTCTCCTCTTAAAGTCATCTTGGGTGACAGATGTCACTGGGCCTCAAAAGAGCCCCTTGGATAAATCAGTAAATAATATTCATGAAATAGTATGTGCTAGCATATCCTGCTTTTCTTTTTATCAGTTCTAACAATACCAAAATTCCTCCTCCCTGAGACTCAAATAAAGCCCACAACAGAGGGTTCACATTCAAACTCCAATCAGCAATTCACAAACTAACAGAGAATGATCTAGCTGATTTCACTAGGGACCTCCATATGGTGATGAAATTTATTCTGAGCCATGTTTAGGTTTTGTACTTGTGGGCACTATACACAAACCCTGAGAGAAACTGAGGTTTTTAAAGCCAAGCTGGGAGTTTGGAAATACAGCTCTTACTGAAATAAGTGGATGTGGTTTGCCCTTAGATCTCTGTCGTAGTAGGAGTTGGATAAAGTCCTGTACCCTGCACATTTATTATTCAGACAAATGAAGAATAATCTCTTTCAGCCTTTTGAGTCACCAGTTCACTACAACAATTTCCCAAGGCATATTTTTTTTTAGACAGTAGTTTTGCTCTTATACCTTGGAGGTAAATGTCTTCTCCAGTCATAGTATTTTTAACCTTTAAATTGTTTTGTTGGGTTTCATTTTCAAAAAAGTACAATAGAGAATTCATATTCCCCAACCCTCTGAAGCATGTAACAAATATATATATATTTTTATAGTATGGTATAGGTGTGAAGTTTGTATGGCTTGGCTTCAAAGGCAAATAATACTGATTCACTCTACTTTTTCTCCTTACACTTTGAAAAATTGATTGATTCTTCCCTCTTTTTTTTTTTTTTTTTTCCTGTTTAAGTAGAGAACTGGTGTTGTTTTTTTCTGTATTTTTCCCTTCAGACAGCATATTTTCCTGATGGAACTCCCCTCCCCCCAATACACAATGTGCTTTTCTGATTTACCAGCTCTAGCATTTTCTCAACAATCATGTGAGCAAGAGCAAGGACTGAATATTTTTAGACACTAGAACTAAGCAGATGGCGAAGGATGTAGAAGATCAATAACTCTAGTTTTTGTAAAGTTTACAGTTCTGCTTTTTTTTTTTTTTTCTTTTTCCCTCCCAGTGTATTTCAAAATGCAATGAGAAGAATATAAAATTTCATAGAATGAAATGGGAGCAAACTGCACTGACCTGGGTGCTTTCTACAAGAACATTTTTCGAGCAGATCTTTGAAAGCAAGCCATGCACTTGCTCCAGCTGTACTTGCGAGCGCTCCCTTTGTTAATTTAATTGTACTCATGTTGCTGGTTGGTAAAAGGTCTTGGACAGATGTGTGTTCATCTGACGTTCTTCCAAGCATGTCTGCGTGGTCAAACTTGAAAGGTTTTTGGGAGCTGAAAGTCATCCCATCAGGAACCAGAAACAACACCATCTGCTTTAGGTGACTAAGCA